AGGACTACAGTGGGGACTAGAACAGGGACTAGAACAGAGACTAATTTGTGACTGTGGAAGGACTAGACCAGGGACTAGACCGAAAACTAGACCAAGGACAAGACCATGGACTAGACCACCGACTAGATCAGTGACTAGATGAGGGACTAACCCAGAGACTAGACCAGGGTCTTAATCAGGGACTAGACTAGGGACTAATTTGTAAGTATTAAAACCAGGTCTAAGTCAGGGACTAAATCAGGGACTAAACCAGGGTCTAAATCAGGCATAGACCGAGGACTAAACTGGGACTAAACCAGAACTAAATCAGAGACTTGTAGGATCTTGTTTCCTGAGGGAATAGGGAGGATCAGACACAGACACGCCGCAGTGATCACACAAGGACAGCTAATGGACTGAGACCAGGGACTAGACCAGGGATTTTACCAGGGACTTAACCAGGGACTAACCAGGGACAGAATAAAATCATTTCAAAAATTAAAACTAAACCTATGGATAATCCAGTTCTAGTTTGAGTCCACACAAAGTCTAAATAAGATCTAATAGGGACTAAAGTAGGTCCAAACCAGGTCCAAACCAGGTACCAGGACTAAACCAGGTCTAGTCCAGATCTAAAACACGCTACATTCCTCTAATAGATCAGTGTACGTCCCTCCTCTCTCTGTTCTAAATCTTGACGGTGCTTAAACCCTGAGGAGAAGTCTAATCAAACCCGACTCTGGAAAATCCTGCTAATTCCAGCCTCTGGGATTCTCCAAAGATTATTTCCAGAAAAGATCCGGTTGCTCAAATCCATGGAGGCTTTTTAGGATCTGTGTCAAGGTTCTGTCTCCGGAGAAAGAACCAAAGAGAAGACTGTATGAAGGTAAATGTGCTGCAAAATGACAGAGTGTGTAAACTTGATTTGAGAACTTGTAGAATATAATGTGGCAATGTGTAGAACAAAACTTTGAACTTGTAATTACATATTTTCATACACGTGTTTGTTGAATTTGCAGTCACGGTGGAAAAAAACACACGAGCGCTTGAAATAAATGTGTGCACTTGTAGAGTGAAATTTTCACTTGTGGAAAATATTTACACACACGAGAGAAAAATCTGAATAAATGTGTAGGTTGATGTTTGCAGGAGTGTCGGGACTGACCCGGAGGTGCCCCGCCTAGACTATCAGGTGATGAGGAGACCGGGACTCAGACCGGGACTGAGACCGGGACTGAGACCGGGACTGAGACCGGGACTGAGACCGGGACTCAGACCGGGACTCAGACCTGGTTTAGACCTGGTTTAGTCCTGTTTTCCGATTTTTCATTTTGGTTTTGCAGACAAATAATGAAGAAAGTTGTTGTTTTTTCGTTTTCATATTTTTGGTTTTATTTTGAAAAACAAATGAACCAATGATTCTTCATCTTCTCCCTTTCTGACTGGTCACCCCCCCATCGCAAAATGTGTTGCAAAAGTCAAGGCAGATTTGCAGATTTGAAACTGTTGGGACACATTTGAGAAGTTGTGGTTGTACCTGTCATTTTTATGTGGCTGTCACTCTGTTCATGCAAACATCAACCTACACATTTATTCAGATTTTTCTCTCGTGTGTGTAAATATTTTCCACAAGTGAAAATTTCACTCTACAAGTGCACACATTTATTTCAAGCGCTCGTGTGTTTTTTTCCACCGTGACTGCAAATTCAACAAACACGTGTATGAAAATAGGTAATTACAAGTTCAAAGTTTTGTTCTACACATTGTCACATTATATTCTACAAGTTCTCAAATCAAGTTTACACTCTGTCATTTTGCAGCACATTTACCTTCAGTGTCGGGAAGGTGACTTTTAAAATGTATTCCCCTACAGATTACAGATTACATACCCCCAGAATGTAGTTTGTAACGTAATCCATGAAATTACTTAAAATGAGTAAAGTAATCTGAGTACTTTGGATTACTTGGTTTTCTGTAGAGAAGCAAAGACGAGGATATCGTAACATAAGAAGTTTTGTCTGCTAAAAGAAAATAAAAAGCCCAGACTTTTCTTGACCAAATTAAAAATATTATTGATAGAAGAAGAGGAGACACGTCCACACAGCATGATTTAGTCCTGGTTTAGATCTAGTTAAGCTCTAGTTTAGACCGGGTTTTAGTCCTGGTTTAGACCTGGTTAGTCCTGGTTTAGACCTGGTTTAGACCTGGTTTAGTCCTGGTTTAGATCTAGTTAAGCTCTAGTTTAGACCGGGTTTTAGTCCTGGTTTAGTCCTGGTTTAGACCTGGTTTAGATCTAGTTAAGCTCTAGTTTAGACCGGGTTTTAGTCCTGGTTTAGTCCTGGTTTAGACCTGGTTTAGTCCTGGTTTAGACCTGGTTTAGTCCTGGTTTAGACCTGGTTTAGACCTGGTTTAGTCCTGGTTTAGATCTAGTTTAGCTCTTGTTTAGACCGGGTTTTAGTCCTGGTTTAGTCCTGGTGTAGATCTAGTTTAGCTCTAGTTTAGACTGGGTTTTAGTCCTGGTTTAGTCCTGGTTTAGATCTAGTTTAGCTCTTGTTTAGACCGGGTTTTAGTCCTGGTTTAGACCTGGTTTAGATCTAGTTTAGCTCTAGTTTAGACCGGGTTTTAGTCCTGGTTTAGTCCTGGTTTAGTCCTGGTTTAGATCTAGTTTAGCTCTTGTTTAGACTGGGTTTTAGTCCTGGTTTAGTCCAGGTGTAGATCTAGTTTAGATCTAGTTTTAGACTGGGTTTTAGTCCTGGTTTAGTCCTGGTTTAGACCTGGTTTAGACCTGGTTTTAGACCTGGTTTTTTAGTCCTGGTTTAGACCTGGTTTAGTCCTGGTGTAGATCTAGTTTAGCTCTAGTTTAGACTGGGTTTTAGTCCTGGTTTAGTCCTGGTTTAGACCTGGTTTAGACCTGGTTTAGTCCTGGTTTAGACCTGGTTTAGTCTGGTTTTAGACCTGGTTTAGTCCTGGTTTAGACCTGGTTTAGTCCTGGTTTAGATCTAGTTTAGATCTATTTTAGACCTGGTTTAGCTCTAGTTTAGACTGGGTTTTAGTCCTGATTTAGATCAAGTTTAGATCTAGTATAAACCTGGTTTAGTCCTGGTTTAGACCTGGTTTTAGTCCTGGTTTAGACCTGGTTTTAGTCCTGGTTTAGTCCTGGTTTAGATTCTGGCAATGAGTGGAATTACCGAAAAAAAAAAAAAAAGGGGGGTTTAGCCCAAAATGTGAAAACAGGAAAATCCCTCTGTGTAATCCATTTATTTCAACAAAGTAACTGTAATCCAATGACCACTCACTGAAACAGTAACTGTAACTGAATACAGTTACTCATCATTTGTACTCTGATTACATAACTCTGGTACATGTAATCTGTTACTCCCCAACACTGTTTACCTTCATAGACTGCACGCTCTTCTACTTCTTACCTTCTGCCCAGGATCATTGAAGTACTTTTGGATGGAGATGTGTGTCCTGTGTAGTTTCGACCTGTTTAGGATTCTTAGATTTCAGATTTCACTCTTCTCTTAAACGTTGCCGCTCCTCATCTTGATCTGACCTATTTTCCCGTGTCTGTGTGGGTTTCCTCGGAATACTCCTGGATAAATATGGAAATTCCAAGTTATCTGGACCAAACGATTATATCTTCCTCTTAATTTAAATCCGTTACCATGGTTTCCAGGTGTAGACGGCCATTTTGTTCGGTATCGTCAGATCTCAGCCCCGGGACATCATTAGCGGAGGAGGAGGTTTCACAGACTTTGAGCTTTGGGCTAAAACGTAAAAACAAAGATATGTAAATGAGGAGAGAATGAGCGGAGACAAAGACGAGACTGAACCAGGTCTGTGGGAAAATAGAGGAGATTTTAGTTTAATAATGATCAGATTTTCATGGGTTTTTAAAATGGCCTACAGACATTATTATTTTAAATCAGTACGTTCATTTTTCCATATCAGTCGTTTTTTACCAATTTGAAGAAAGAGTCGAATACAAAGAGTGAATATTGTGAATGTTATTTTTAAGATATCGCAAATTTGAATCTTGAGTGTTAACATTTATAATAAAATGCTGCAAAAAGAGCTGATTATAAAAGGAAAATTGAAAAAATCAGGGTACAAAGTGATGTTTCTGCATGCAACTGAAAGCTCAATCTTTACATTTATTACACTATTTTCTGATTTGGAGTCATTTGTTTTATTCACACCTTCACTAGAATCATTTGGATAATTTCAGTCCTGGAGTAAAAATCACAGAATAAATTTTGAGTACCGTATTTTCCACACTACAAGGTGCTCTGGATTATAAGGCGCACTGTCATTAAATGGTTTATTTTCAAACTTTTTTCACAAATAAACCGTGTGGGACTTTAAAGGAAACCCAACAGTGTGATGGGTGAGTGGTTTTGTTTGTTTGTTTGTTCACAGTGACTCTGGGCTTTGTTCAGTTGTGGCGTGTAGGGAGGGTGTGTCTGGGACCAACGGATTGTCGGCGTGTTCGCAGTGACTCAGTTGTTCAGTTGTGTCTAGAAGTGGCACATTGCACTCACTTTTTTCGGTTCGTTCCTCCGTTCCGTTCCTCGTCGGCGTGGAGTGATGAGTGTGTCTGTGGGTGTGTTTCGCTGTGTGGTCCCTGTCTGCTCCGTGTGTGTTTGTGTGTTCTGTGGGTGGTGCGGCTTTGTAGTTTACTGAAGTCGTGCTGGGACACCTGAGTGGATTCATGTATGGGGCGCTCTGGATTGTGATGCGCAGTCATTTTTTGATGGAGTTGGAGGCTTAAGAGCGCCCCTATAGCCCGGAAAATACAGTAAATATAGGACCTTAAAGACATGTTTTAGCACCTTTCTGTTGGAGTTCCATAATATAGGTGAAATATTGTTCTGTCAAAAAGTATCTTGGGTAATATTACCCACCTCTATAACCAAAAATATAGTGTGTTTTAAATACACTCTGATGTTTAGTTTATGATGTGCATGATGTTTAGTTTGTATAATTGTGTGACAGAGTCTCTGTCTCTGTGTCTCCAGACTGCAGCCCTTCATCACTGGACACAAACCTCCACCCAAGAAGAAGGCCCTGGACCAGGTCAGACCATCTGTCCTCGTGCACACTCCTCACGTGCACACTCCTCACGTGCACAGTGCACACTTTTCACATGCACTTTCCTCACGTGCACACTTGACCTTCATGGACAGTCTGTGTCTCTTAAATCACTAAAAACACATTAGTTATAGTTTAATAAACATTCAGAATGAGGAAGTCAAACTAGAGGAAACATGGCCGCTCTGATTGCCATGACAACTGTACACATCCTGTAATTGTAAAGAACAAAAATCTAATTTCAAAATTTTAAATTATATTGTTAAGGTGGAAATGAACAGAAAGTACACCTACAGAATATTCACCTTAAACCCTCAGGAGCACACTTTCCTCTTGTGCACCCCCTCTCTCCTTCCCTCGCTCACTCTCTCTCCCTCTTTCTCTCTCTCCTTCTCTCGCCCCTTCTCTCCCTCTTTCTTTCTTTCTTTCTTTCTCTTCTTCTCCCCTTCCTCACCAACTCTCTCCTTCTTTCTTTCTCTTCCTAATTTTCTCTCTCCTTCCTTCTCTCCCTCCATTTCTCTCCCTCCTCCCCTCTGTCCTCCTCTGTCTCTTTCTCTCTCTCTCTCTCTCTCCTCTCTCCCTCTCTCTCTCTCTCTCTCTCTCCCTCCCTCTGTTGTGTCTCTTTTGTGTTTTAGTCCAGTCTGTGTAAAAGTGCAGAGGTTTTAAACGTGAGTGTTTGAGCTCTGCCTCGTCTTGAAAAAGTGCAGAGGTTTTAAACGTGAGTGTTTGAGCTCTGCCTCGTCTTGAGTCACTTGGATGTGTGTCTATATGAACTCTCTATATGAGGAGGGATGAGATTTCAAAAGTGCAGCCTCCACATTTTCTAGCGTCTGTGGAATCGCAAAATGTATAAAAGCGTTTGACTGACTCAGCGTTGACCCCAATCTGTGAAAATGCAGTGTTAAGCTGAAGCAGACACAACTCAACAAAAACACACAAATGTTGCAGACAAAATAACACAGTGACTCTACAAAACCAGGCCAGGATTTAACCAGGACTGAACCAGGACTGAACCAGGACTGAACCAGGACTGAACCAGGGACTGAACCAGGGACTAAACCAGGATTCTGTTCTCTTCTCTTCTTGCTCTTACTGTCAGTCCCCCTCCTCCTTTCTTTTGCCCTTGTCCTCTCTCCCTCCCTCAGTCTCTCTCTCCCTCAGTCTCTCTCTCCCTCTGTCTCTCTCTCTCTCTCTCTCCCTCTGTCTCTCTCTCCTCTCTATATTCTGTCCATCAGACATGATCATAAATCACATCCTCGGTGTAAAATGAAGCGGTCAGCTCTTCTAGAGGTCACACACAGTGACAGTGAAAAGTCTGCTTCAGTCCAGGTTTTGCTCCATTTTACACCTGCTTTCATTTAGTCCTGGTTTAGTCTTGGTTTAGTCTTTTTCAGTCCTGGTATAGTTCTGTTTTAGTCCTGGCTTAGTTTTGGTTCATTTCAGGTTTAGTCCTGGTTTAGTCTGGTTTAGTCTTGGGTTAGTCCTGGTTTAGTCCTGGTTTAGTCCCTAGTTTTAGTCCTGGTTCAGTTCTGGTTTATTCTTGGTTTACTCCTGTCTTAGTCCTGGTTTAGTCTTGGTTTAGTCCCTGGTTTAGTCCTGGTTTAGTCCTGGTTCAGTTCTGGTTTAGTCTTGGTTTAGTCCTGTCTTAGTCCTGGTTTAGTTCTGGTTTAGTCTTGGTTCAGTCCTGATTTAGTCCTGGTTCAGTTCTAATTTAGTCTTGGTTTAGTCCTGGTTTAGTCTTGGTTTAGTCTTGGGTTTAGTCCTGGGTTAGTCCTGGTTTAGTTCTGGTTCAGTCCTGGTTTAGTCTTGTTTTTTTCCTGGTTCAGTCCTTATTTAGTCCCTGGTTTAGTCTTGGACCAGTACAGGTTTAGTCATGGTTTAGTCTTTTTCAGTCCTGGTATAGTTCTGTTTTAATCCTGGCTTAGTTTTGGTTCAGCTCAGGTTTAGTTCTGATTTAGTCTTGGTTTAGTCCTGGTTTAGTCCTGGTTTAGTCCTGGTTCAGTTCTGGTTTAGTCCAGGTTTAGTCTTGGTTCAGTTCAGGTTTAGTCTTGGTTCAGTTCAGGTTTAGTCTTGGTTCAGTTCAGGTTTAGTCTTGGTTTAGTTCTGGTTTAGTCTTGGTTTAGTTCTGGTTTAGTCTTGGTTTAGTTCTGGTTTAGTCTTGGTTTAGTTCTGGTTTAGTCTTGGTTCAGTTCTGGTTTAGTCTTGGTTTAGTCTTGGGTTAGTCTGGTTTAGTCCTGGTTTAGTCCTGGTTCAGTTCTGGTTTAGTCTTGGTTTAGTCTGGTTTAGTCTCGGGTTTAATCCTGGTTTAGTTCAGGTTTAGTCTTGTTTTAGTTCAGGTTTAGTCTTGGTTTTCAGGTTTGTCTTGGTTTAGTCTCGGGTTAGTCCTGGTTTAGTCCTGGTTTAGTCCTGGTTCAGTTCTGGTTTAGTCTTGGTTTAGTCTTGGGTTAGTCCTGGTTTAGTCTGGTTTAGTCCTGGTTCAGTTCTGGTTTAGTCTTGGTTTAGTCTTGGTTTAGTCTCGGGTTAATCCTGGTTTAGTTCTGGTTTAGTCTTGGTTTAGTTCTGGTTTAGTCTTGGTTCAGTTCAGGTTGACTCTCTATATTCTTGTTGGAGGAATGCATTTTTTTAGTTTGGTATTTGCTCTCTCCCTTTTCTGCCTCTTTTCTCTCACATTCTCATCCCTCCATCCTCATTGTCCGTCTGCGTCACGTGTTTTTATGAATGAACAGCTAAGCCCCGCCCCCCGTGAACGCCGCGCTCTGATTGGTCGTCTCTGTCCCCATTCGTTATGTAACGCAGGGACAGAGGCGAGACTGTGGGGTTTGGATGTGTGAGGAACTATTTTAATCAGGACGAAGAGGAGAGAGGGACAAAAGAGGAGGGAATATTCAAGGAGACATGTTCTGCAAATTGAGACGAGACTATTGAAACTAAAACCAGTTTAGTCCCAGTGGTTTAGTCCCAGTGGTTTAGTCCCAGTGGTTTAGTCTCTGATTTAGTCCCTGGTTTAATCCTCGTTTTAGTCTTGGTTCAGTCTTGGTTTATTTGCTTGTTTAGGCCCAGATTTAGTGTCAGGTTTAGTCCTAGTTCATGTTTAGTCTTGATTTAGTGTTGGTTTAATCCTGGTTGGGTTTAGACCTGGTTTAGACCTGGTTCAGACCTGGTTCAGACCTGGTTTAGACCTGGTTCAGACCTGGTTCAGACCTGGTTTAGACCTGGTTTAGACCTGGTTCCTGGTTCAGACCTGGTTTAGTCCTGGTTTCCTGGTTCAGACCTGGTTCTGGTTCATTGACCTCTGGTTCAGACAGACCCTGGTTCAGTGTTCAGAGGGGTTTGGTTTAGACCTGGTTTAGACCTGGTTCAGACCTGGTTCAGACCTGGTTCAGACCTGGTTCAGACCTCAGACCTTTTCCCTGGTTCCATGTTCAAGACTCTCTCGACCGTTGCTCTGAATATTCCTGCTCAAAACAATCACACACACAGAATCTGACTGAAACAAAATGTCCAAATCCTCTGTAGCAAACACAAACACAAACACAACATCTCTACTGTAACACTGGACAGAAGAATGAAATCTGAATCTTCAACTAGTCCAAGAATCCTGACATCTGACACACACACGGGGAGGGCATCTGACACACACACGGGGAGGGCATCTGACACACGGGGAGGGCATCTGACACACGGGGGGACATGGCGTTGGCGGTGGTTGTGTGGGAAAGTTGAGTTTTGTTCAATATTGGCTCAGTCTCAGTTCCCAGACTCATGTTAAATATTTGAGCGCATCCTTTGGTTTTCATGGATACGCCTCTTTCATTCTCCCTCGCTTTCTTTCTCTCCCCCTCTCTCTCTTTCTCTGCTCCTTTCTCTCCTTCTCTCACTCCCTATCTCCTTTCTCTACCCTCCTCTCCCCCCTCTCTTTCTCTCCTTTCTCTTTTCCTCCTCCACTCTCTCCATTTGCTTTCTCTCCTCCTTTCTCATTCTCTTCTATCTCCTTCGTTCTATTTCTCTTCTCCTTTCTTTCTCTTCTTCTTTCTCTTTCTCTCATCCTCTCTCCTTCTCTCCTTCGCTCACTCCATTTGCTTTCTTTCCTCCTTTCTCATTCCCTCCTTCTTTCTCTCCTCCTTTCTCTTTCTCTTTTTCTCCGCTCCCTCCATTTGCTTTCTCTGTCTTTCTCATTCTCTCCTCCTCTCTCTCCACTCTCTCCTCCTTCTCTTTCTCTCCTCTTCTCTCTCCCCCTTCTCTTTCTCTCTTCCTTTCTCTGTCTCTTCTCTCTCCATTTTTCACTCCTCCTCTCTCTTTCTCTCCACCCCTTTATCTCCTCCTCCTCACTCTTTCTCATCCTGTCTCTCTTCCCCTCTTTCCACCTTCTCCTTTCTCTCCCCCCTCTCTATCTCTCCTCCCCTCTCTCCCCCCTTCCCCCTCTTTATCTTTTCCTCTCCCTCTTTTTCTCCTCCTCTCTCTTCTCTTTCCCTCCCTCTCCTCTCTGTTGACTTCTTCTCTCCCTCTTTCTCTCAGGCCTATGAATATTTCAGCTACTCTTCACTTTACCAACAGGGACTTGTTTCTTTTTTTCGTGAGTGTTTAAAGAGGGTTTGCCACACATCAGTCCTGTGTGTTTGTGTGTGACTGTTTAAATCAGACACTTTCTGCAAACTGGACTTTTCACAGTTTTTCTCCCCTGTTACATTAGTTTCCTTTTGACTGATCCTCTGAAGTTGTATTTAAAGTGATTTGTGCACGTTTGAGGAATCTTTAATCTCTTATTTTCAAAACACCAACAGCTCCCGTCCACTCGTCCACTGCTCTGTCCGCGCTTCTTTCTCCACTTTGATTTTCGGATTCTGACACACGTTGTGCCCTGCAGCGTCTCTCCTCATTTTGGTACAAATGAATAAAACCGCTCTGCTCTAGTGTGATGACGTTTACGGCGACGGCAGTCTCGGAAATCAGCGGTTTTACTTCTTTTATTAAGTCGTTTTAGATAA